GCCTTTTAAAAAGGGTTTCCTTTTTTTTATTTTTTAAATTTTTGGGGGCCCGGGAAAAGCCCCCCAAGGGGGGGAAAAAAAACTTGGTTTCCCTTTGAGGGTTCCCCCCGGTTTCCCGGGGGCCCCCCCCCCCCCCCCCCCCCCCGATCTCAACTTCCATCAACGAAAATACTAGAATAACATAACATCCATCGAAAACAGCAATAAACGCTGGTCTTACGTCGTCATCAATTTCCACCAACACCACGAGGGTGAAAATGAAACTTACCTCCCCCCTGTCCCAGCGTATCTTGACCCCCCAACAGGTTTCGGCGAAAATTACGTTTAAAATTTTTTTTTCCTGCTTGTTGGCTCTTTCGACAAAATTTCCAACACACACACGTAGTTCCACTGATCAACGGAGTGAGGTTCCAACTTGTCAAACCAAGAAGGGGGGCACAGGCACATCACAATAGACCAATACCTCCACACTGAACACACACCGCTCGCTGCGCCCCTCTCGTCTAGGATGATGGCGAGAGGTCGATGTACGGGCGAAAACAATTGAGCATCGCCAAAACCCTGCCTCCCCCTTGTATCGTTGGGGAGGTCATCTATTCGTCTTGCGGCAAACTGCACCTCATACGCGCGGGCATTTCTTCGTAGGTACGGTACGGGTTTACACACCATATTCAACGGAAACAGACAACGGAACGGCGATCAACGCCCAAGGAACAGTCTCGCACGCGCGCAAAACACGGATCAAATAATGCGGGTAGAAATTGTTCTGGTCTCGAGACCCTCGCGCTGCAAGCTCTGGCCTGGAACATTTTGCAAACTAAAAACTTAACACTAACGGACGGAGAGTCTTACAACGAAGATGGCACCTGATTACCTAAAGCGTGCCCCCTCTAGTATTTTAATCCAAAGCATGGACTCTTAATCTTTTAATGAAAATACTGCTGAACAGGTGCAGACAATGAGGCATTTGTGCGCCTGCCGTGAAGAGCTCAAACGCGTCAGACAACTTCAACAAAAGACAAAAAAAAATGCACAGCCAGGCCCCCTCTACATTTTTGCAGGGTCTAGGGCGTTCCATACTTACTCAGTCATGCCAAAAAACTACCTTGACGAGAAATCGAACAAACATCAGCAGCAGCCTTTGTCTTGTGACAAACGACCACACCGTAGGCGAGCGTATCCATTCTTCCATCGTCATGACGCCTCCCCCTCTCCCGCGCGCGCCAAGAACAAACAAGGCTGCAAAAGAACGTAGGCGGGCAACACTTTCTTTGGTTTGGTCAGGCCAGGGCCAAAACCGTCTCCATGGCCACCCACCGTTTTCCGGGACACCGACCGAATACACCCCTCCCGTATGCCCTCCACACCCGAAAATACCGCTCCCTCCCCTAGACACATACCACGGTTCTGATGGTGAGCAGCCACCCGGAGGCCCCGGTCCATTCCCTCTCACAGCCCATGCCCCCCCCCCCCCCCTCCCAGCCCAGCAGCTGCTCTCGACCCGCACCTGTGCGGGCTATCCGGTGCGCGCGTACCACCGCCTCCGCTCTTTTGGCGCCGGCCCGACCGACCACCAGCCAATCAAAACACCGCATCGCATCGAGCTTGTTAGCTCATGCGGGCCGTTTCTGAATCTCCTGCGCACGAAAAGGGGGTGCCGATGGTTCTGACGATGATGGACCACGGTCTCACGAGCCGCTGCTGTACAAGCGGGTGACGACTACCAGGCCGTGTGCGCCGCACGCGATCGACATGCTCGCCTCGCAAAATATCTGTCCGTGCGCGATGCGGACGTGGACGACTGCACCCCCGGGGGGGTCGCTTCCGCCGCCCGCGTGATGGTGGTGCTGGGCATCGTTGAGCACCTGGAAAATAGCATTTCGGAGAGAGAGCGCGTCTCTCTCGTCCACGATGCTGGCATCGCGGGAGGGAGGGAGGGAGGGGAGGTTCCGCAACGCGGTTGGTTGGCCGGACCCAGGAGGGAAGGGTTTGCAGACAGACAGACAGACAGACGGCAGCAGGGGAAAGAGAGAGAAGAAAACGGAGAACATTGAATAGGGAGGTGTAAGGAGAGACGTGAGGGGCAGAGAAAAAAGTTTTTTTGGCAGAGAGAGCCCCATCCATGACGTGGAGGAGATGGAATGGCAAAAGTGGAGAGAGAGAGAGGGGGGGGGGGGGGGGCAACGATGCACGACGAAGCTCACGACACGCACAGTGACGGGGGGGGAGGACGGTGAGAAACAGGCAGGGAGAAGAACCGAACTCGTTCTCATAGCAGCACCAACAAACAGACTGCTGTATCACCAATTTTAACCAGCACATCAAAAACGTTCACCGCAATAGAGGCATGCCTTGATGCACCTACACAAGCGCCCACCGCCGAACACAAGCGTACTGCTCCGAACAGAGAACCCGGCGCAGTGTAGTGACCAAGTAAACTCGCTTTATCTAAAAAGAGGAGTCACGGGACGCTGCTAACGGCAGAGGTTTAATCCAGCACAGCCGAATCGGTTTGGGGGAGCGACAAGCCACGTCGAAAAGACAAGCATTTCATCGGCCAGGTTGTCTTCACGCGGTCGTTTTGGGCAGGCGAGGGCCGGAACGGTCGGTCGTTTCTACCAAGCTCTGCTCTTACTAGGCATGGCTCTCTTGGGCGGGGC